TTGTCTCCAACCTTCTCGGCATCGCTTCTGACTTAAGTTGTGCTCTTACCCTGGGTGATTTAAGGATGAAGGTTAATGTTTATTTAGCAGTTATGGGTCTGTGCTAAGCTCTTTGAATCATTATCTCATTTAATCCCCTCAACAGCATTGTAAGATACAATTATTATCTCCCTTTATCTTAAGAAAATATCTATCTATCCATCTATCTATCATCTATCTATCTATTTAGAGAGCAGGGGGGGAGGGGCAGAGAGAGAGAAAGAGAGAGGGAGAGAGAGAGAGGGAGAGAGAGAGAAAATCCCAGGTAGGCTCCCCACTGAGCATGAAGTCCAATGCAGGGCTCCATCCCACGGCTGTGAAATCATGACCTGAGCTGAAATCAAGAGTCTGATGCTTAACTGACTGAGCCATCTTGGTGCCCCTATCTCCAGTGTTTTTAGTAGATGAGGGGAGAGACTTGGAAAAAATTAAGTAATATCCTCATGTTTACTCACAAAGTAGTAAACTGAGGATTTAAACTCAAATCACCTTCCCCCAGAGCCTATACCATTAATAACTCTGCTAAACCAAATACCCTCTTCCCCTTCCATTACACACACACACACACATACACACACACACACACACACACTGCAGATCTTATATTGGGACAAGCTGGATAAAGAATCAAAGCAAAAAGGAAGCAAAAGCAAAATAAAACAAAAATCTGCAAGAGAAGCTTTTCCCTGATCATATTGTCAAAATGACACCAATGCAGAGCTCACAGACATTGATTTTATACCTATATACCTGTAATTAAATATTTAGGTGGAAGGGTTTTACATTTCTTTATTTCAGTAGAAACAAACTATCATAACTTCTTCAAGAATCACATGCCTAGTTCATCAATTCAGACCGCAGACATATTTAGTTTGGGTATAGTTTTAAAAAAATTCTCATTTTAAATATTTTAAGGAAGGGTATCCACCTTCCAAGTGGCACATTCCTCACCACTCCCTGTCTTGTTTTTTTTTTTTTTTTTTGCTTCACTCACTTATTTTACCTGATTTGTCCTCTTAGGCATTTGCATTTGAATCCCTGCCTAGCAGTAAAAATTTGGGTGGATATGGGATGATTTTCCTTACATATGTCATATATTAATATACAGTACCCGTATTTTACCTTGAGAGCAAATGCCTCTCATATTATATTTATGTTAATATTATGGTCTCCTTCTCCTTCTCTTCTTCCCTCTCTTCCTTCTTTCTTCTTCTTCTTTCTTTGTTTCTTTGTTTCTTTGTTTCTTTCTTTCCTCCTTTCTTTCTTTCTTTCTTTCTTTCTTTCTTTCTTTCTTTCTTTCTTTCCATTGACATATATTTCCTATTTGTATTTCTACTCGTTTAATTCTTCATGGCTTCTTGACTAGAGGTGGATATGAGTCAGAGGAAGAAAAAGGCTTTCTTTATGCTGCGTTTTTGTTTGTTTATTTGTTTGTTTTGGTGGCTTTCTTAAAAATGCTTAAGAAAAGGATGAAGACTTGCTCTTCTGACTGTTGCTTGTCCCCTGATGAAGATACTAACCTGCTGTGGTTGCAAGGTCCAGGAACGTGTTAGTGTTGGTGCAGGTGGTGGATTTTGAGCCAATCAGGGGAGGCAGTGGGCAAATTGCTTTCCTCCTCTGAGCCCCAGTTTCCTTATCTATAGGATGCAACTGATGATAGTTGTGTCACTTGATTTGTGTGAGGTTTCGATGAAGTATCTGGTAGCATGGCCAGAGCAGACTTGGAATTCAGAACATACATGGTTCTATTACCCTTCATCTCATTCTTCTCAGAGGCTAGGACTGAATACAGACACTGGCGGTGATATCAAAGTATATGAAAGGGATTCTGATGAGAATGTCAGAGAAAGGTTGCAATAAAAATGTGCACCTGCAAGTAAAAGCTCTCTGAAACCTCCACACGGTGTCAATATGCCTTATATATGAATTCATTAGTGGATGTGTGTGCACGTGAATGTGTACACATAGATGCAGCATTTATGGATTATTGTGTGTGTGTGTGTGTGCACCTATATATGCAGCATTGATGCATGTGTGAGCATGTGTGTGCACTCATACATTCAGCATTTGTATGTGGATTGTGTGTGTATGTGTGTGTGCCCATACAGGTATAGCATTGATGTATATTTGAGCAGGTATGTGTGCACATAGGTGGAAGCATTTGTGTGTGGTTGTGTGTGTGCGTGCATGTGTGCACATGTGTGTGTGCCCACCAGGAAAGCCCTAGGAGAAGAGAATAAACTGCACTAGATCTTTGATGGTAACTGTTATTCAGTGCATAGTAACTCATGATATATAAAATAAAGTCCATTTATGATGTTGGTCTTATCTTCTAATTAAAATCATAGGCATGAAGCTTCTTTATACCTGTGTAAAATATGCAGTTTAATTTCTCTGAACCAGGAGAAAAATGATTTCGTTGTCTATTATGTAGCCCATCAGCACATGGTGGGAACAAGGCAGGGTGGTGAGGGAAGCCTCATTCTTCCTCAATGTTTGTCCTCTCAGACTTTTGAGGAGCATAGATGTGTCCTCTGAGGTTTCCTCAAGGGCAGGAGAGGGATGTTTTTGTCAGTTGCCCCTCCCCCTTCACAGCATCAAGGGCAGAGAGTCTATTCTGTCTATGAAAAACCCATCTCAGATCATTTCCCCTGGGTTATTCATGTAAGGGATGGAAAAAAAAATATTATGCAGCATCCATTCCCTAAAAATTTTCTGATAACTAGTAATAACTTATTTCAATGAAGCCAAAGCAAATATTTGAGAAAATGAAAGTAAGCTTGTCTTGGAAGCTGTAAAGGAATAAAGGAGGAAAAGGACTATGAATCTTAGCAGCTAAAAAGATTGAATCTGTTTTAAAGCTTACTATATAATAGTAATATATACTATGAGTAGCATTTAAAAATCCTGCTATTTAATAATTTCATTTTATAAGGTATGGGAATAGGTTTTGGCTTTATTTTCTACTTGAGGCCCTTTGGTTCAGACAGACCATGGTAAGAAGTAGCCCTAACAATTGGTGGAAGTATATAGCCAATGATAGGAAAACCATTACAAATAAAGAAACCCAGTTTGCACATTCAGTCATTCAGCAAACATTAGGAACTCAAATAAGCTAAGTGTAGCCTGATAATAAAGGTCAAAAGGGCTATGCTGCTGCTGAAGCCAGAGACATAAGCAGGGAACAGAGTTTGCCAGACTATTTTAAGGATTTTAGAATATATCAGAAGATCAGTGATAAGTCACTGAATGGTTTTAAGTAGAGGAATGTCAGAATCATATTTGTATTATATGGGATAATTATTGTGCTCACAGTTTGCAAAGTGGATTGCAGGGGAATGTGGGGGGCAGGGCAATGTGACATCAGTGAGGTTGGCTAGAAGGTCTTACAGTAATTCAGTGTAGAGACTATCACATTTTGGGCTAAGGCAGTTATAATGGGCAGAGAGAGTGTGGATCTGATTTTATAGTTAATTAGTAGGTAAAATATACAGAGCTCAAATACAAGTAAATTTTAGGAGGCGAGTGGAAAAGCAGAGTCAAAGATGAATCTTGGGTTTTTGGCTTTATACTGAATCATTGGTAGGAACATTAACTGAGCCAGACAGGAAACAGTGGGAGATGGGTAGGGCTGGAATGAGGTACATTGTGGGGCATATTGAATTTGAGGTGTTTGTGGACATTCAGATAGAAGAATCTGCCAGGAAGGTGAGGCTGAGACTAGAGGAGACTTTAGGTTGAGGTTTGATTTATGATTTGTCCCCAGAAATATGGTAATAAAAACAAAAAAAGCTTGGAACAAGTCCTGTGGAACAGTGTGTTGAATAAAAATCCTCAATTGAGGGTTGAGGAGTGGTCATAATATAAAGAGATCAGAGAAAGTTGAGTATTCAAAACAGATGAAAATGAAGACTAGATGAGTATGAGGTATGGAAGCCCCTGGAAGAGAATGCTTCAGGGAGGATGGAATTGTTGTGGGTATCAAAGACTGTTAGGAGTTCAACTACAGAAAAGATCTGAGTATCTAAATTTCTGGTGGATTAAATACTAGAAAGTCAGTCACACGTGTAGTGAGGTCAATGTCACTGAGGTACTGCAAGTAGAAGTCAAACTTCACTGATTGGAGGGAGCTTTTACATACCTTCTGAAAGTAAATAATAATTATAGCTGTCACTTGTCAAGACTATGTGTTGTGCCAAGCGTTCAAATCCTTTTGGGTTATCATGATACTCAATTATTATTGTGGAAACTGAGGCCTCTAGAGTTAAGTAGGTTTCCAAGGTGAGCCATTACGAATAGAGAAGTGTTGAGTTTGAATCTGCCCTTTCTGATGCTAAAGTCTGTTTAGTCTACACCATTCTGTCCATCCAGCTTGGGGATGAAAACACTTTCTGGAGCAGCAGTCTTTGCCCCAAGGGCCTTTGGCGATAGGTGCTTTGGAAAATATCTAGAACATAGGGATCCTTGAGACCACTTAAGTCCATTAAATCGCTAAAACAATTCATTCAGAAAGAACAAAACAAACAATGGGATAATAGGAGGATCCTTTTCATGACTAAAGGGCAGTAAGAACAATAGTGTGATTAAGAGTGACAAGAATTGAGGGAGGGAGAGATAGAAAGACCATATGTGATGGTCTTAAGGTCAGGGGACAGAAGACCATAAGAATATGCTCCCATTACTTAAAGGCTGGACATCAAAAATGAAAATGCTTATAAGATGGACATCACAAAATGAAGCCTCATTTGTATGCAGACCTAACCATGTACAATATTCCAGCTCCATTCAGCAATGAAGGACTAAATCAGGGATAAAATGCCAATATTTCATAGAGAGACCCACATGCCCCTTCCTGTGCTGTGATATACAAGTATAGATGACTTTATATTTATGCTTTAATTTCTTGTATTTATTCTCCTACACTAACTCTATCTGTATTTTCTTCCTTCTCCTTTCTTTAGATCATGCTTCTTAGTGATCCTGAAATGGAGAGCAGTTTATTGATCAGCTCAGATGAGGGGGCCACCTATCAGAAGTACCGGCTCACCTTCTACATCCAGAGCCTGCTCTTCCATCCCAAGCAGGAAGACTGGGTGCTGGCCTACAGTCTGGATCAAAAGGTGAACAAACACTGTTTTTATTTGCATCTTGTCACCCAGGTACCACCCTGGGAGGAATGCTTGTTTACTCAGTCCAAATTTTGGAGGGATTCAATGACATTTCATCATTCAACCCAGTTGATTTTGTCTGCAGCAACAAGCTTTCTTTTCTACTCTTCAGTATCAAAATATGCAGGCAGGTACATTTTGCTTATTGGCAGTGCTGTTTATCATTTTGTAGGTGGAAGATGATTTTCCCTATAATTTTACTTGTTTGACCTTTAAAACAACCCTGTGAAGCAAGTAGGAAATGTGTATTCATAATAATTTGCTAGTGACTGTGGTAAACAAAGGTGCAGAAGGGCTAAGGTCTTTGTTCAAGCCTACGGAGCTATCATTGGAAGAGCCAGAGCTCAAATGCATATTGTCAGATTCCAAGTCTAGGGCATATTCTAGCATACCATGCAGTACTGATTTGGTAGAATTTGAATATACCATTGGTTGTAGTTTAGCAAAGGAAGGGAAGTCCCAAACATATCCATTTTGTTATTTTCTAGAAGTACCTTCAAGATGTAATGACCCCATAAATCCTTCTTCAAGCTCAAGATCCATTTATCCAGCTGTGTACTTGACCTTGGCTCTTAAGTGTCTTAAATGCCTCTTGATTCAACATATTCCAAAAATGAACTTCTGCTTTCCTTCCAACATAGCTGGTTCTCTTCCAGTGTTCCCTAATTGTATCTGTTCATTTGCAAAAGATAGAACCCTAGGAGATATCCTTAATACTTCCTTGTCGCAAACTTAACATCTGTAATCTGTCATTCTTATCTCTATCTCTTAATTCCATGGACTTCTATTACCGCCATCATTTAAACATGGGTTATATCTGCCATTTGAGTACGACCAGAGCCTCTTCAGTGTGTTTATACTATAACCTAAACAATCTATTTTCCAAATGTCAACCTGAGGATTTCAGCATATTTTCATTGTTCACAGGCAATAGACCAAAGTCCTCTGTAGGATCTGTTAAGATCTCCTTAGCTGGTCCCTCCTCTGTCTTGACTCAAGGTTATCACTTTCCCTTGAATGGCCATCTTTCAGTTTGTTATACCAGCTGTCTCCCTGGCTCCATTTCCTGGGCCTGGAATCTTTTTCCCTGAAATCAACTTTGTCACTGTCAGATCTCAGATCTAGTTAGTATCACTTTTTCGGGACATCTTCCCTAAGCTCTCTGACAAAGTTAAATGCTCCTTGGTGTTCTTTCACGTAATGCTATATACCCACCTTTAGAGTGCCTGTCAGTATTGAGATTTTACATTGATTTAGGTGATATTAGGATTATCTGTATTCCTCACTGGACTATAAACTTCAGGAGGACAAGGCCAGGTTTGGTTTTACTCACTGATTTACCACCAGTGCTAGCACAGTGCCTGGTACTTAACAGGTGCTCAGTAATATTTGTAACGTGAACAAATTAGTGGATGAGCGCATAAACACTCTGGTAATGATCCCACTGTAGCTGATCAATTTATACTTAAGAGACTTTAGATTATGCTTCTTTGTATCTCCTTAGTACAGAACCTAAGTACAGTGCTTGATGCCAAACTGTTATGTAATAATGTTGTGGAATCAATCAGTGAAAGAAAATAGATCTATAAGCACTGTCTTGCATAGAGATATCTACAAATTAACCTTAATTGAAATAGCTTCTTCTGTTCTCTCTTTAAATCCTGAAACAGTTGCTCCTCCGTATATATTTAAATATGTGATTGTAAATATGAGTGTGTGTGTGTGTGTGTGTGTGTGAGAGAGAGAGAGAGAGAGAGACGTCAGCACCTTTAAACAATAATTTCAACATAACCTTTATATGTCTCATTAATGGAGCCTCATGGTGGGTGCCAGGTGCTTAATGCAATCCCCTAAGGACACCCACATGACATTTGCAGAGCAAAAGCCATTGCAAATACATTTCTTTCATGGCATCAAGTAGATATTGTATGAAAGACTTAGCCAAATGTCAGGTAGTCTGTGAGTTTAGATGCTTAGTATTGCTAGGAATGTCGAAGCTATATTGAAAAAATGAATAAATTTTTTGGCTATTGTTAAAAGCTGGATAGTAATTTATTTAGATGATGCTCAGAAATCTGAAACTCTGTCTTCATGTATACAGAGACAAACTAGATTAGACATCTCATGCCAAAAGATTGATAAGCCAAATGCAGTGTGCCTTGTGTGCATCTAGAAGGGATATCCTTTCCCTCCATCTCCATAGCACTGAGAACATCTGGGGCATTGCTCATGAAGTACTCTTGTGGATATAATGCATTCAAAATACTTTCAGGCTTGGTGGCTGCTTTTTCACTTAGTAAAAATATTTGGAAATGTGGCACTGGGTGTTGATGGATTTTCCTAATCACGCTGCACATTTCTGGATGTATTATTCCTTAGGTACTCTTTCTTGTTGACATCTTTTGCATAAAGTGGCTGAATGTTCTTCAGGCCCATAAAGTTTCTAACTGGTACCCTGCCATTCTTTTAAATAAATGGTGTGAGGAGGCAGATGATGCCCCTGGCAACATTTGCAGAGCTGGCATAAAACACCCAGCCTCAGTCATCCAGGGTGCAGAAGAGATTTTCTATATTTTGGAATAATTTATTGGTGTAGAGTCAAGGAGAGTGATGCTATGCAGCAGCAGATGAAGAGGCAAGGGGGATTTGAGATTGATATACAAATGTCTTATTTCAGACTGGAGCCTCTGTGATGTGCATGCATTGAGGCAGCTGGTTTCTTCTCAAGAAAATGAAAAGTGTTAGTATTAAGGTAACTGCAGCATCAAAGGGAGATGTTTGTGGTGAGGATTGAATCGATGTTTCCATTATTGTGCCTTTGATGAAATGCACTAGCAATTTCTTTAGAATCAGTAAGGCTATCTCGTTATGTTGTATGTATTACAAAAGACCTAATTGAATGATATTTTAGAGGGACAATATCCAATTGCTTTACCTCCCAAATTGCTACCTCAAAACTGCAGGAGACTTGCCGGAAGATCGCATTCGGTAAAGGCACTGCTGGAAAATTAAGGAAACACCTTCTGGATAGAACAAAAGTGTAGCTAGAAATTGAGACATGAACATAACAATATGTTAGTTGAGATGCTGGATGGGAGGTTGTGAGTCAAGTAGGAAACGTGGCTAACTGTATTGGTTCAAGGTGAGGCTGTGGGAGATCACCCAAGCCTCCCAACTTCCAAAGCTGCAAAGGGGTGGGGAGGTAGTGACAAATGCACCTTGTACTTGACCTTTTGGAGGGCCACTACTCTTGAATTTTGATGTGTCATGCTGTAACAGAGTTATTTCTGTTTCCTGTTCAGTTGGACCTGAGCTTTTGACCAAGTTCTTCCATTCTGGCCATCCCAAGAGCTTCCCAATTCCTGTGGCAGCTCCTCTTTTTTTCTACAGACTCTCCTGGCACTTTGCATTTTAATATAAAATAACTCAGTACTTACTAAAGACAAGAAATTCTTTCCTGAGTATACAAATCTTTGGAGATGCTTTATGAGAATCTTTGTGATTAAAAAACAACCAGCATAATAGGTTATGGCTGATCAAATTGGAATAATAAAAGAAAAGCTCTCCTCTCCTCTCCAAATTAAAGCTCTAGAATGTCTTTTGAGGGCTGTATATTTACCAGTTATTTAAGAGGCAGGAGTCTATTTTGTTTCCACCAGGCTGTGTCCTCACTGTCAACTGAAACTACATTGTGATGTTTTGGATTAGCTGGAGGGCTCAATAATATTATTAAAACTGAGATTTTTTTTTTTTTAAAAGACTTTGAGTCAGGTTTTGAGGACACTGTCATCCTCGGAATGGTTAGATGTTGTTCTCATTGCTGTAGAAATTTGGATTGTTAAACATTCCTCATTTTGATAAGAGACTTGGTGTCATTGGGGTTTTGTTTTGTTTGTTTGTTTGTTCAGTGGGCACATGCTCATGTATTTACAGATGCACACATCATGGCACAGGGGTCTTCCACAAGAGACCCTCAGGGGTCTTTCCACAGAGTTGAAAACAGCTATTTTTCTGTGGGAGAGGCGGAGTTACACAACTCTCTATTATCATTTATCTACTTGGCAAAACGGAACATTAACAAATACAACTGCCTTTGGAGACCAGAGATGAGGAGCTCCATGGGATTTCAGACTCTGTTGTTGTTTTTCAGACACTTCTGAGGTGAACTGGTCTAGAATTACCAATCATTTCAATTTAGAAACCACTTTCTGAAACACTAGCACACATAGCACATAATGAAAAGTGGCTATTATAGTAGTTGGGCGGAGTGGGCAGCTTTTTTTTTTTTTTTGATCACCTGCTACCAGCCAGGTTCAATAGTAGCTGACAGACTGACAAGCTGGTTAAGGAGCAGATGCAATTTTGATCATGGTCACTGGCAAAAGAGAGTCCACAGTTGAAGAGGTGATGGTGGCTCCACGCAGGCTTTGCTGGTGGGCCTCTCTCTGGGGCTGCACGAATAGGGCACTGGCGAAATAGAGCATCTGGTGTGTGGAGGGCCTGAAAATTCAAAAGGAAATTTAAACCTGTACTTCTGGAATGCTGGATACAAATGATGCTGTTCCTTTCGTTTGTATTCTCCTGTAAACCCTCAGATTAGAAATGTAATTGTATTCAGAGCTCCAGGATTAGCAGGTGATGACAACTTTCCTCAGTAGCCTTTGGCGGAAACAGGCTTTCTATCTCCCCACCCGGTGGGGATAAAGCTTCTAGGGATTAACTAGGGATGACCGTGGTTTTGAAGCGTATCCTCCAGGGAATGAGAGTACTACTGAAGGGCACCTTCTATTTCAGGGAAAACATTGCAATTTCATTAGGTCTCCTCCATGCCTATAAAACCATTTGTGTCTCATTTAAGTGAAAAACAATCCATAGCTCCTCTCACCTATGGCAAGCTGACCGTGCTCTTCAAGATATCTTGTCAGTATAGTGGGGATGTGCTGTCTCCATCA